GTCAGAATTAAAGAAAATTGCCTCTACCAGCTTCATTCAGGGAAACTGGCTTGGTTTGTAAGGAAAATTTTAAGTAGTTTATCCTCCAATAGATTCCTGTTTTATCTAAAAGTCTCCAGGCTTATTAAATCGTACATTTTATTTGTTGCCACTTAGTTCTGAAGCTGAAGCTCACAAGAGCATTTAAAGGCATTTCTTTGGTATCTCAGCCATAAGCTATGACTTTATACATCATTCTCACAGAGCCTGCCAATGGATGGGAGGGGGGAAAGACAAATCCAATGCCACAGGATCCTGATAATTCCAAAGGAAGACTTCCAAGGCACTTGGAAATGCAGCAGTAAGGATGACTTGGGTATTGAGCAATAAATAAGCAAGTTCAAGAGAGACAAAAATCAGGTTCAGTGCCGCAGGGTTTCAAAACAGAGTTAAAAAAAAAATACTGGTTTGACATTTAGCAGCACTGCTAAGTCTGTTATTCTACATGAACGATTCTGTGATGAAATAAAGACAGGCTGGGCTACCCCAGCAGTTCTCCTAACAATCCTCTCATCAGTATTTTTTATCCCCTAAAAACTGGGAATACCTGCAATCCCCAGATTTATCTGGAAGTCAGAATTTCTCCTCAGTCATTTTGTATTAAAACCCTGCAAAATTTCCTATCACAGGCAAAGTTTCTGCAAACAACTTCTGTAATTTAAAACTGCCTAAGATAATTCATATTTCCTAATGCTTTTATCGTGACAATCTTTTTTACTGGACATTACTTTTAGAATGATACTAAATTTTAAAATTTCTAACATAACACTGTCAGATAATTAACAATGAGATTCCTTTGAAAAGAATATAAATACTCATTTAATGAAGTCAAAATGTATGGGATATTTAAAATTAACATTAGGTTTCTATTCTGGCTTTGTTTCTACAAAGTAAATCTGAGTTTCTTTCTGCTCTTTATTTTTAACAGTATAATTGGATAAACATTTCATGGATACACTTATGACTTATAGACATCAAATAGTTTTTGAAAAGTAAGTGGTTTAAGTCCTCCTGTTTGATGAGAACCTGGGACTTGGGGAGTTTAAGACATAATTTTATCTGAGGCAGTGAGGATTTCTGAGGAGAATGTCCAGCCTGGAACTTTCCAGAAGTCTAAAGATGCTGCAGATCACTTCCCACTTTCCGTGCAAAAAGCCAATTATTGGCAATTCCCTGCATTATTTTAAGCCAATCCATCCATCCACAAATTCCTGTGTGCTCTTAATACGTGCACAGATGTTTCCAGCTGCACCTCCAAAGCCTTCCCTTGCTCTGGAAACCCAAAAGTGAAATCTGTGCCTTTCATCTGCATTTGGAACCTGCAAAGTTTAAGCCCACTCTGCGTATTAACACGTCCTGAATCTGCTTCTGTGTCATAAAACTGACAGAGATAAAATGGAAATTGCAAGGTGAGTTCCAGATCTCCTCTCCCCTCATTAACCAATCAGGCTGGAAATTCCACACTGTAATTCTCCTCCCAGGGCAGTGACTCTGCAGAGTTTGGGATGCAGAGTGAAGGTCCCACAAGATTTGTGCCACCTAACTGATGGTTTCCATCATTACCCAAACATTTTATACCCGCTCAAAGCTTCCCTGTGCATCTATTATTATTATTATTATTATTATTATTATTATTATTATTATTAGTTTATTTCCATATTCAGACATAGAGAGATGCTGCTTAAGGGTAATCAGCGAGAAGTTTATAAAAAAATCAAGGCTAAAAACTGAAAAACTAAGCTTGTGATTACTTAAATATTTAGTTTAGCAAACCAGCTCTTTGTTTGGAGTAAGTACAGATAAAAAGTTGAAGTCTATTATGTGCATGTAATTGGCATCTGCAAATAAAATTCAAATTCAAAGGTTTTATTACCCCCCTGACAGCACGAGCCATAAACTGAGGAACTCCAGCTCAGTAGTTTCTTCAAATACCCAAAAACCCTGCAGAGACAACACTGTGGCAGTGCCTAAATAAGGCAAAATAGGAGGCAACACTTTGTCCAAACCAAAACTGAAACCAAACAGGAAATATTTTATCAACTCTTCCCTGTGAAGTGTTTAACTCACTTGACTCTTTCCTCAACTGTTCTTTTATCAGCTGAGCACAGAGAGTTCCCCTCAGAGACACCAGGATCCGAGCAAGGCTTCAAAAACAAAATCGACTTCTTTTGGTTGTTGTCATTCCTAATCACAGATATCTCTAAAATTATTACTCCCAGCTACTAGTGGGAATAAAAAACTCTGGATCAGCTAAATCAATCAGGCCTGTGCAGTTGGGCAAGGGAGACAAGCAATTTGGTGAAGAATCAATTTATTGGCTATTAATGACATGCTCAAAATTAACTGCAGAATGAAGTTCCCCATTTATCTACTCTGGGGGACATCTCCAGATTCCTGGTTTCAGCTGGGGTTGGAATCCATGAATTCCATGGGAAGTCATCCCAAACAAACCCAGCCCCCAAAAATGATGGGATTCATGTGGGAGGTAAAATAATCTGAAAATTGAGACAGATCACAGTCACTAATGAAATATCAAGCCAATACTTGAAAATAAATTGCATGTTAATGGATCCTGCTGTCAAATAACCAAGTGCCCAAAAACTCACTTTGACAACTCCAAGGAATCCTAAGAGATGGTGGCTTTCAGAGCTAACAGCCAATTTTTATAGCCTTTTTGGGAAAAAACAGACACAGTTCCTGAATATTTCAGATCTTTGTGAATGCAGGATCTCGTTTTTGCCACAATTTCTTGGGAGCTCAGAAACTCCCACTGGCAGATTTGGAACTAATGGCTGTAATGGCTGTTATGCTCTTGTATTTAGGGTTTTTTGGTCAACTCATTCATTTACCAGACTGTTGTGGAAAATTTGCTTCATGGAATTCTGAAGTGCAGTTTTGGGGTTCAACAGCAGTTTTTACAATAGACTTTAATGTGGTCCAGCTGCAAGCTAAAGGACCAGGTTTGTATCTTAGCCAGCACTTTCTTCACAAAAACAGAAAATTCCTGACATTCAAATATAGTTGATTTATTCCCCTCAAAATCTGTCCCTCATGTGTTAGGGCACAGGGATAACTGATCCTACCCACTACTCTGCTTTTATCTCCAACCCCCCCTTAGAATTTCCATTTTATTCTTTCTTTTCCTCCAAAACAGGGACTTGGTCACCTTGGTATATCAGATTCTAGGCTTGAATGTATAAAATAACCAGTAGGAAACTGGGATCTGGCAATCTCAGATTCCATTATTTGAGTGGTTTTGTCCTGAATTTTCTCTTCTTTTTGCTTCTTCTACAGACTTTGCACTACATCAGAGTCACAGAAAAACTTCTTCCCCTTCTCCAATGACTGCTGCTCCCTCTCCACTCCCTGAGCAGCACAAATCACACAGAAAAAGGCAAACTAGGGGGATTCTGGAATATTTCAGTTCCCTCTTCACAAATTACCACGGCCAGGGAATTAAAACATGAAAAAAACATTAAGTAATGACACGTTTCCATGAGATTTTTGACCCAGAAGTGCAACCTTGGACTCTGCGCCATGCACATCTGTGTGTGTCTTTAGGGGAGTGTTACTTTCACTTTTAAACCTCATAAACATTCAGTTTTCCACTGAAAATTATTTCCCCATTAAGCTTTCTTACTTTAAATATAGACTAGTCAAGGATTCATTCCCTTGTGCCCTTGAGTGGGCTTTCTAAAACAGATGCTATTATGGCACTTAACTCTTCAAGAGTTTCACATATTTTATTAAATAGACAAAGGAATTTTAATTAAAAACATATTTCAAGTACACCTGAAAGTCCCTTTACTTGTTTTACATTATACTCCCGAGTCCCTCTGAGGGTTTCAGCAGGAGATATATGCAGAATGTTTGGATTAAGTGGGAATTTGGTAATTCAGCAAGTCTCAGGGAGAAATTTGCACAACAGGAAAGTAAAAATTACAACTTCAAATGAGGTGTAAAAATGAAATCTTAATTATGCAGCCACTCCAGATCTCCTATGATCTGTACAACCACTGGGGTTTGGGGTTTTTTTGGGTAAATGCTGTATTAAGCAGTTGGCATCTTCTCCTCCTCGAGGAGGAGCTTGCATTTCAATGGCAGATAAGTAATTTCTGTGATTCATCACAGGTTTGGAGGTTTTTAGAGCTTAAGGATTTTTTGGGACAAGCAGCTGTATCATAAAGGCACATTACTGCTTCTAGGAAAGGATGAGTTGTTTTGCATTTGAAGTAAAACTTTAATTGATGCACTGCTGACTTCCTCCAAAACTTCACTAATTCACAAATTCTACGCACCCAGCACTACCAACAAGTTGCTAATAATAATTAATCTGTATTTAGTTTTAGCCATGTGGAAATTTTTTTATAAAAATCCAAATAATGACACCTCTAACGACCAACTAAATCCTTGCAAAGAATGCTGAATGCATTACACAGCAGAAACGTGTTTGGTAAGCAAGCACACTCCAAAAATAATGCCAGTTGGACACTTCTTGCTGCTAAACATTTGCATTGAAGGAGAATTAAGGGTGGGCAGAGCTCTCAACTTTTCTTCACTTGGACAAAGACACCTGGTTTTCAATTCCCCTGTAATTTTTACTAACTATCAGGTAAATTCAGAGAAAATTCATATTCCTGAAGGAAATTGCTTCCTGGGAAGCCCTGGCATGAGAGCCACTGTCCTATCCTGGGGAAATTGTTGTAGAATAACTTCTGGCACCAGGAAACCTCCTCTCTGAGGAGCAGGTATTCGTAGCAGATTGAGATATAACATGATTAAGATACAAATCTCTAAAAATCACCAAGGGCTGTGACTCGACGGAATCGAGCGCATCGGCCACGAGTCACATCCATTTCAGTGGGATCACAGGAACGTGGCTTAAATATTGCAGAAACCTCAGGGGAAAAAGTAACATTTCTGTTGTAACATGAGGCTTTTTGCACTGTTTTTGGCTGCAGGCATCATGGTGAGTAAGGAGCCCAGCAAATGCTTACTCACCGCCTCGGACAGCGACGTCGAGCCCGCGGCTTCCCTGGCGCTGGAGATGAAATATGCGCTGGATCCCAACCGGCAGATCAAGAAACGGAACAAAGCCCTCCAGGTGAGGTTCAAGGATATCTGCGAGGCCCAGAACGAGCAGAGGGACAAGCAGCTCTCCACCTCCTCCACGCAGGACCCCGACAAGAAGGAGGCCAAGGCCATCTCCTACAAGACGGCCTACCGCAAGTACATGACGGTGCCCGCCCGCAGGTCCATCCCCAACGTCACCAAGAGCACAGGAGTCCAGACTTCCCCTGATCTCAAAAAGTGCTACCAGACCTTCCCTCTGGACCGGAAAAAAGGGAATATTCTGAAAAGCGCCGCGACCGTGGACACGTTACCGAGCGAGAACAACGGGTTCCTGATCGAGGTGAAGGACAGAGAGGGCCGGGGCGCGGGCGAGGCCGCGGCCTGGGGCAGGAAGGC